CGTCTCGCACGCAGACTCGACGACTTCCAGCCTCCCGAACAAGCCGGTTTCCGAAAAGGCTTCAGTACCATAGACCACATACATACCCTGCGGCAGATTTTACAGAAGACCGAAGAGTACAATCGTCCACTTTGCCTGGCGTATGTGCTACAGTCCCTTCAGCGGTGCCAAGTTGACTGTCCGTATATCGAGGTGCTGAAGTGTTTGTACAGTAGGGCTACGATGGCTATCCGAGTACAGAATCAGAGCTCGAAACCTATCCAACTGCAGAGAGGTGTAAGACAGGGTGACGTTATATCCCCGAAACTCTTCACCGCTGCATTGGAAGACGTTTTCAAGCTACTGGACTGGAAAGGATACGGTATTAATATCAATGGCGAGTACATCACTCACCTTCGATTTGCCGACGATATAGTCCTTATGGCAGAATCGCTGGAGGACCTTAGCACTATGTCAATGACCTCAATGGTGTCTCCCAACGGATAGGTCTTAAGATGAACATGGACAAAACAAAGATCATGTTTAATGTCCATGTCTCACCTATGCCGGTAGTTGTTGGGAGCACCATGCTCGAAGTTGTTGACGAGTACGTTTACCTGGGACAAATAGTCCGACTAGGTAAGTCCAACTTCGACCGAGAGGTCAATCGACGGATTCAACTCGGCTGGGCAGCGTTCGGGAAATTACGACACATCTTCTCGTCAGGTATACCTCAATCTCTGAACACTAAAGTGTACAACCAGTGCGTGTTGCCAGTGATGACTTACGGATCAGAGACGTGGTCCTTCACTGCTGGCCGTATGAGGACGCTCAAGGTCGCTCAGCGAGCTATGGAGAGGGCTATGCTCGGAGTTTCTCTGCGTGATAGACTCAGAAATGAGGATATCCGCAATAAAACCAGAGTGACCGACATAGCCCAGCGGATTAGTAAGCTGAAGTGGCAATGGGCCGGCCATATAGCTCGAAGAACCGACAACCGATGAGAAGAAAGGTTCTCGAGTGGCAGCCTCGTACCGGTAGGCGTAGTGCAGGGCGACCCCCCACTAGATGGAGTGACGACATGGTAAGACATGCAGTAAGTCGATGGATGCAGGTGGCTCAGGACCGTGCTTTGTGGCGTTACTTGGGGGAGGCCTATGTTCAGCAGTGGACTTGTGAAGGGCTGTAATGATGATGATAATGATGTATATATGATTCGTTGGTCGTGTTGTCGCACCAACATTTCAATAGTCCATACATTTGCCGCCGTTACTGCTGCGGGGCCCCGGTTCTTTGGTCATCTTTAAAGTTAATTTTAACCCTTTTGAATTCAGTAAACCACCTAAAAGTTGTTGCGCACGATGTAGCAGAGTCCCCTAATGCTGATTGTAATCGTTGTAAATACCAAATTTAAAATTCTAATCGATCATAGCGCGCAAATGTGCTCGGTTAAGATCCATCGTTTTAAATGAAAAGCGCGAGAAGCGTTGCAGGGAAATTAATAGATTTTTGTTTTTTGTTATTTTAATATTGAGCAATTGGCTTACGGAGTTCTATTTTGAAATAAATTTGCTTTTTAGAAACATATAACAGGTTGCGTTCCATTTTTAAATTTTGACATCTACTTGAAGTTAAGCGGTAGTGTATAATGTTACACCGTCACTACACGGTAGTAGCATTTTCAGTTTAATATTATGTCCGTGACGTTAAGTTTATATATTCAGTCAATAAGTGGACGCCTCCTTTCAACTACTTGCAAGGGAGATACTTCTCTATATAAAATATATATATATATATATATATATATATATATATATATATATATATATATATATATATATATATATATATAATATGTACGACAGGCCATGCAGAATTTTGTATTTAGTATGGCCGTGGCCCTACATTTATCTTTGATTAAGATTCAAAATGCGTTGTCACCCCTGAGAATTGAGATGGAATACCTCGTTTGCGGTAAAAAGCGTCTTTGGTTCTCTACACTCACCATACGAAACACAGCATCATTAAGCTGCTATTTCACGCTTGTATTTTGTGAGAGCGTGGTCCTACTCCGGTCGAGGTGACACATTCGTGCTACACCCATAATATAGCAGCAGCGTGGCTCTACCACGTAGAATACAAGTGTTTAAAAATACAAGAGAGACAGTGCAAGTGTTTATACGAATCACAAAAATGAAGCTGGCATTTTACCAAGTGGTAATCGCAAGTATAAATTATTCTTATTCCCACTTGCGTCCAGAATTTAGACATGCGAAGAAAGAATAAATATATGAATAAAAATCGTTCTAAGTTTACAGCATTCAATATAATTATGAATTTAATTAATCTTGCCAAATATACCGCGTTGTTAATCTGCAAACATATTTAATTGTTTTCATCAGATTCTGTACCGTCATTTAAATAAAAATTAAAATAAATGTCAAGTAGTTACGGTTTCTTTAATTATCTATATACCTAATGAATACCAGAAGTCAGTTGAAAGTCAAGAGAAGGTAATTCATTAGCATCCCAATCTCAAGTTTGTTTAATTGGTACCTACATTAAGTAGAATATAAGATTTAAAAAGAAAATAAAAAATGTTCGAACGGAAACTAAATACGATATTTTTTTATTTCAAAGTTAATTTTTAATCTGAATATTGGAGATAAATGGAAACAAATTCGGGTCCGGGTCGGGTATCGATTGTCCGGAAAATATTTGAACACTTGAAAGGTGATTGAAACCCTACACGATACTGCTTGCAAGGGTGGCCAAGCCCTTTTAGAGAATATTATTAAAAACTAGGCAAACAATAAAAAATGCGTAAGGATTTTCGATTATCAAATTATTATTATTATTATTTTATAAAAGAATATTAACCATGCTATAAACATTACTAATATTCACCTTAACCACTCGTGGTAAGCTTAAACCGCTTGTGTTACGAGTAGTTCACGTCAGTAGTCGAATGGCGGATTCGAAGCCACAACCTTTCTGAGTTCGCGATCCGCTCCTTGCCATTAGGCTACTGTCGCTTCAAAATTATTGTATATTGACAACAACTTTCGTTTTCGTTATGAGCAAGCAAGAGTGGGCTATGGAGCATAAAATTTTCTAGTGCGAAGTGGTGAACTATAGAAATATATGTAGCTTTCTTCCCTTGTATTTCTACACCGAGCACATAGTACCCAAATGAGCACTAAAATTGCGAAAAATGTGTCACCACCGAAATAAACTGGGCTTACTCGTACTTCCGTATTAATAAAGTAAAGTTGAACGCCTAGGCTCAGAGCTGTCTTGGCTCTATATACATAAATATGTAATAAATGTTCGTGTGCACCTTTTTATATTCTAAGTGTGAATAATCACTGATATTCAATTTTCAGGATTAAGGTATCTTACATGTTAAATAAATAAATAAATACTTCCAAAATAAATTACATCCATTTCCTTATAAACTTTTTTCCCAACCGTTGAGCTACTTCGTCGACATTGATGTACAAACAAAATCCCATCTGTCATATAAATTCTGTATACACGTAGAAGACCAGCAGAATACTATAAACTATCCTGCTTCTATTCCGCGCAATAAAATAATAAAATCCTATATCACGAAAATCCACCATGCAATATTATAATATTTCAAAGAAAATGTCATAAAAATAGTATAAAAGTGATATTCCAAATATGTCGTGTAGTGCGGCGTAGTGGCTTACTGCAGTTGCCAACCCTGCATCTAGAAAGCATTCTATGGTGGAGGCCTGTGTTCAGAAGTGTTACAGGACTGCTACCATTTCACACAATATTTAAAGATTCTTACGTGGTAGAACCACGCTGTAGGTATGTTATGGTCGTAACACATTGTAACAACTACAAAAAACTAGCACATCATAATATCACAGAACTCCGCATACTATACACGAATTTGGCTTCCATTATGGCAAAATTTGATTTATTTCTCCTTGAAGTTAATACACAATATACCTGCTTTTATTTTGATATCAGAAACTCATTTACATTCTGGAATTGATGACAGCCTTATAAATATAAACGGATATACGCTCTTCCGGTTGGACAGAAGAGAAAGAAAAGGGGGAGGAGTAGCAATGTATGTTGCACATGACGTTAACAATGTACCTGTTATATCAAAAGTGAATAAAATATATTATAATTCTTTGGTTGAGGCATTATGGTTAGATATACACTATGGATATTTAGATTTACTTTTAGCTTGTGTGTATCGTCCTCCCTCAAATGTTTTAACAAGTGCTGATGAAATATTATTTAACACCATAGAAAAGGTAGCCTCAAAGCAGACAGTGATTATTGCAGGTGATTTCAACTTACCAAATATAAAATGGCCTCTCGATAATTTAACCGGACATGACAAGCTATGCGAAAGCTTTGTAGCAACGTATTCAAACAGTAATCTCACGCTTAACACAAATCACAAGGAAACGTAATAATGCAGAATCCCTACTAGATCTAATACTGTGTAATGATGAAACTTTAATAACTGATATTAAGTATCTTCCGCCCATTGGAAAGAGTGATCATTTGGTCATACTGGCTTCTATGCAGATAATTAATAACGATAGTAAAGTGCCGATAAAAAATAGTTTTGATTTTTATAAAGCTGACTATAGCAAAATTAACAAAGATTTAGCAGAAAACTTTAACATAATTGGAAACCAAGTAGATGAAATGTGGCTATCATTTAAAAATAAAATACATACACCACTTGAAAATTGTGTAAAAAAATCACAGAAAATAAATAAATCAAATAAGAAACCATGGATAAATAAGGAAATTTTGGATTTAACAAAACGGAAAAAAGAGTTATGGAATATATATATTATTAATAAAACAGAAGATTCGTACCGAAAATTTAGAAATATTAATCATAAAATTATTAAACTGTCAAAATATAGAAGAGCTCATTTTGAATCAAATACTCTGGACCGAAATCTTTCTACGGATACATTAGAAGACAACTTAATTCTAAAGTCACCATTCCTAACATGCTTAAAACCGAGTCACAAGAACTTGTAGAGGAACCACATAAAATCGCGGAGCTGTTTGCCGATCAGTTCGTTAATAGCTATGTAAGAGAACCAGATGCACCAATTCCCTCCATAAACATGCCAATGGTAATAAACTCAATTGATGACGTAAAATTTACAGCCAAAATCGTACTAAAGACCTTGTTAACATCTATATTACTAAAGCGGTGCTCATCATTGCTTGCCGAACATATATCAAGCATTATGAACAAATCCATGGAGGATGGACGCTTATCCGCTGGTTGGAAGAAAGCTACAGTCGTACCTATTTATAAAAACGGCGATAAGATGAGACCTAGTAATTACAGACCAATAAGTTTGACAAGTATCCTCTGTAAAGCCATGGAAAAGATCATAACTGAAAGATTAAGAGAATTCCTATTACAAGAACAACTGATTTTAGATGAACAGCACGGGTTTGTACCAAAGCGATCAATCATTACAAATATGTTACAATGTGTTAATGAATGGGTCTCAAACCATGACAATGGATTACCTACAGATGTGATATATCTTGACTATTAAAAAGCTTTTGACCGTGTGCCATTAAGGCGACCTATAAGCAAATTAAAACACTTTGGTATACGCGGGAAATTGATGGCCTGGATCAGTGATTTTCTGTCAGACAGAACATTCTGCGTAAGAGTTGGAAGTACAATGTCTAAACCCAGGGAAGTACTCAGCGGAGTTCCGCAGGGATCTGTTCTTGGACCATTATTATTTATCCTATATTTATCGGATTTGAAGAGCACGTTACAGCTACCGTTCTCATTATTTGCCGATGACACAAAATTTTTTGGGAACCCTATTACGCAACATCAAGTTATACAACAGGATCTAAATGCCATCTACGATTGGACTAGTGATTGGCTCCTAACACTGAACGCAGACAAGTGTACGGTTCTACATATAGGGAAAAATAATCCACGAAATACATATTATCTAGGTGATCACCCATTGTCTTCTGTTGAATCACAAAAAGACATTGGCATTACAATAACCAGTGACCACAAATGGGAAACTCATATCCTTAACATAGTAAAAAGGGCAAACTCCATGATGTATATGATTCGAAGAAGCTTTATGTGTCTCACTCCTAAAATATTTAACAAGATCTACCGAACGTACTTAAGACCTCTTTTGGAGTGTGCATATGTGGTATGGGTCCCGTATTTTCGTAAAGATATAATAATACTGGAAAATGTTCAAAGGAGAGCCACAAAAATGGTAAAACAACTGCGGAACATGACATATGAGCAGCGAATGAGAAAGCTTAACCTCACACACTAGAGAGCCGTAGGCAGAGAGGTAGTCTGATTGAAACATACAAAATACTGACAGGATATTACAATGTTCCTACTCTGCCGAATTTGTACTTACTAAATAGCAACAAGCGTCTGAGAGGACATCAACTTAAACTTTGCCATAGGACTGCCAAGCGGAATCCCATGAAGAATTTTATAACAAATCGTGTTGTCACCAAGTGGAATAAGCTACCACAAAATGTGATTGATGCTCCTACATTGAACGCCTTCAAGAACAGATTGGATAAAATCTCCAAACATTAAGATGCACACGCATCAGCTTTTTTAGCTGCTAGTGTGTTTATGTATAAATAAAAAAATAAAAAACACGAATAGGTTGGCTCTACCGGGGAAGGACCACCCTCTTATAGAATATCAGAATAAAATAACAGCTTAATGCTGCTGTATTTCGTATGGTAAGTGGAGAAAATCTTAGCCCCTTTTATTGGAAACAAGGCATTCCATCGTAGTCCTCAGGGGTGATAACGCGTCTGCATTTTGATTCTTAATCCAAGATAAATGTAGATGTCTTGGGCCACAGCATCCACTTACCATTAGGTGGACTGTGCACTCCTTTGTCACCCCCATTCTATATAAAACAAAGAAATGTATGTAAGAGGAGGCATCTAATACTAACGAAAAAGTACCTTAGTTTACCAAAGCAAATACCTTAGTTTTCGGAGATGGCAACACCATATGGGTCATATGGGATGTTTCTACAAAGGCACTACACTGCTTTCTAGTAATAGCGAAATTTACAACAAATTAGTTATACAAATAAAATTGCGACTATTGAAACACACACAAAGTATCTCGTTATGAGCCTTTTGATCTTTTCAAGTAATGGCCTTTGAGCAACTGGTGTGATGAACTTAAATCTTCGTAATGATTGTTTATTTGTGCTTGTGGGTATAAAATAAACATATAGGGATCAAATATTCCTTTAAAATTACGCTATTGTCTTTAGCATATAGGTACATTTATTATTTTAGAGTTTTAAGACGAATAGAAAAGAATAATTTCGGTTAACATATTAGGTTATAAATTGTTATTTAATGCATAATACTGTAAAATACCTCCTGGTAACTAATATCTACCATAGGTATTATCAATAACCAATCTAAATTAAACTTATTTGATTTTGTGGCTTTATGCCAAAAGCCCAAGGTTTTTTTAGAACTTTGGCTCAGCAATATCATTAGATTTTAAAAGATTTTTTTTTACATTCGAGAGAAGTTCAAAACGATCTAAAGAGATAAGGTCCGCCATTATTTAACTACTTTTAATTATATATTTGGATACATAATTTTTAAACTTATAAATATAATAAGTGTTTATTTAACTTAAAATTGTATAGATAAATCTATTTCTCTTTGAAGTTTAAAGGAAACCAATGTTCAAATTCTGAAATATATTATGTTTTATACGGCTCTTGAAGACTCAATCATGTAAAAAGTAACAAGATCCGCAAAAAATGTACGTAATAATTTATTCGCCACGGACGTAGATAAATCATATTATCCATTTTCGTGTGACAGATCTTTAGATCCTTTGACCTACTTGCACTTAACACGTTTATTGGGGAATAAATCATGCCAGTCGTACTTTGTATTTGTAGATTTTGTTTCCTTGAGTGGGAACATCCGACGAAAATATGGAAATTTCCATAAACTATTCTTTATACCCTAGTAATGTGTCTAATATGAATAAGCCACTGATGTTGCAGCTGTTTAATAACTTTTTTATAAAATCAGGGTGACAAACGAGCACACAGTCAGTGCCTGATTTAGAGTTACGACAGCCATAATATGCTAACTATTAATGCCTGTCCAAACCACACATATATTTATTTACAAGTTTTTAAATATTTTGCTAGATTTCCACCCCGTGGTTTCGACCATATAAAATCAAATATTCCCGTAAGATTTAGGTTTTTTCTCATAGTTTTTTTTTTCAAGTTGTAGTCGGTCTATCTCATCGCCTTACGAAATATGCTCAGCAGGTGTAAAAAGGTAACCGACAAAGTTCTTTCGCAATTATATTCTTAGTAAACGTATATATACAGTTTTTTATCTATTCAAGTATTTGTTAATTCCTTATCATCAAGTATTTCAGTTGTGGTCTTTAGTAAGTCATTCTTTATCGAATAGAGGCAAACGAGCATGCGACTCATCTAATACCTGGTGTCGATCGTCGCCCATGAACAACTGCAATACCAGTGGCATTTATTGCAGATGCGTTGCCAGCCTTTTAAAAAGGAGTAATCTAGTTCTTTGAAGGTATTTAAGTCCTAACGGTCCGGAAAAATCATCCTTGGTAGATGGTTCCACAAAGAAATCTTGTGAGGAAGACGATTCCTAGTAAATCTCACACAACAAGTATAGGTGAGTTTTGTCCACACATGCGTCGACGGAATTTGGCGGCTGGAATTATTTCAAACAATTCCTCTCAGCGCTTCCCGTGGTAAATGTGATAAAACATGCAAAGAAATGCAACATCTCTTCGCAGCGCGTGTGAAGCCGAGCGTCGACATGAGATGAGAACAGTATTCAACGTGGAGTTGAACTTGCACCTTGTAAAGTTGCAGGCGGGGCGCCAACATGTACAAAATATTGTCCCGCTCTGCTGAGCACGCCAGACTTTTTAGAGGCCAATTTAGCGTTCCCTTCAAAGTGACGGCAGAACTGTACGTCATTCGATATTATATCCATACCGAGGATTCCGATGCTGGCTGAGGCATCAAAGGTAGTGCTCTGAAATTGAAGAGATACGACAAAGCGCTTCTTGGCATCGCTGTACAACGGGGCGTACGACTGTATTTTTTATTAATGAAAATTAATATTCTTTATTTTGTTAGTCTTATAATAAAGACTGAATATAATTTAATATAGTTTTTATACGTGGTAGAACCACGCTGCAGCTATATTATAGTTGTAGCACGAATGGGTCGGCTCGACCGGAGAAGGACCACGCTCTCACAGAATACCAGCGTAAAACAGCAGCTTAATACTGCTGTGTTTCGTATGGTGAGTGTAGAGATCCGTAGGCCCTTTTTTACTGGTTACGTCTTAGTCCTCAGGGGTGACAACGCACCTGCGTTTTGATTTTTAATCGAGGATAAATGTAGATGTCTATGGGCCACTTCATCCACTTACCATCAGGTGGACTGTGTGCTCGTTTGTCACCCTTATTCTATGTAAAAAAATTATATACAAAATTTTATGTTTGTTTGTTCGTATTTTATGAGTAGCCATGTCGTTCGTTGGATTGCGGTGAAACTTTATTAACGTATTGCTAAGTATACGTAGGCTAAGTAAAATTAACTCACAGTAGGTAGCGCGCGTATCGCACCAACTTTATTTGAAAGCCATAAATCATTCAACTTAGATTAATGTAAAAATATAACTCTTTTAAACTTAAAACGATATTTCCACAATTATTTCTCCTGCGGTAGCATCGTACCGGGTACGGAATTATAACACTATAAAAATATAAAATTAAAAAAAATATAATTGAACCAGGGCTAATACATAATGATTTCTTATATTTACGCGAACACTATACATTGATTAAAACTACTTTTACGGATTTTATCGCGTTTTATTTATATTAATTTTAATACCAGACGTTTCGTGTGCTATCCAGCACCCATGGCCACGGGGAAATGAGGTGATTACGTCCCGACGTCAAGGTTAACCCGGAGTACCTTCAGCTTTTTAATTATTGTCTTTGGTCCGATCTACGCAGAATGAACTAACTGTATTTTGAAGTCTTGCAGTGGTATGCTTGGGTTTAGTTTTAATTTTATTAATTATAGGATCCCAAGCAGGTGGTAGTACCCAGCCTCCTTCTCTATTGAAATTAGGATGTTTTTTAATTTCAATAGCCTCACGTATCATTATTGGTAGGAATCGATGTTCTTTCGCGAGGATTTGTGGTCTATCAAATCTGATGTAATGATTGGGGCCTTCTAGAATATGTTCGCAAACTGCAGACTTCCCGGAACGTTGATGCTTCACGTCAGCTATTTGTTCTTTTACGCGGGTTCTAATTGATCTCTTTGTTTGCCCTATATATGAGAGACCACAATCACAATCAAGCTTGTACACTCCTGCATCTTGTAGAGGAATATGACACTTGACGAATGGTGAGAACGGACTAATCTTCTTCGGCGGCTTGTAGAATGTTTTAATAGAAGCAAGCTTCAAGATGTAGCTAATA